GCCGCTGGGCGCGGGCGTCGCGCTGGCCTGCCAGTACCTGGGCACCGGCGCCGTGTGCCTGACGCTCTACGGCGACGGCGCGGCCAACCAGGGCCAGATCGCCGAGGCCTACAACATGGCGGCGCTGTGGAAGCTGCCCTGCGTCTTCGTGTGCGAGAACAACCTCTACGGCATGGGCACGTCGGCCGAGCGCGCGGCCGCCACCACCGAGTACTACAAGCGCGCGCACTTCCTGCCCGGGCTGCGCGTGGACGGCATGGACGTGCTGTGCGTGCGCGAGGCCACGCGCTTCGCCGCCGAGCACTGCCGCTCGGGGAAGGGCCCGCTGCTGGTGGAGCTGCTGACCTACCGCTACCACGGGCACAGCATGAGCGACCCGGGCGTCAGCTACCGTTCCCGCGAGGAGGTGCAGGCCATGCGCAGCAAGAGCGACCCCATCATGCTCCTGCAGGAGAGGATGGTGAGCAGCGAGCTCAGCAGCGTGGAGGAGCTGAAGGAGATCAATGCCGAGGTGAAGAAAGAAGTGGAGGAGGCGGCCCAGTTCGCCACGTCGGACGCGGAGCCATCTTTGGATGTGTTGGGCCACCACATCTACAGCAGCACCCCACCGTTTGAAGTGCGCGGTGCAAACCAATGGATCAAGTTTAAATCCATCAGTTAAAGGGAGGCAATATGCAAATGTGTTATAAATCTTCAGTAGGAGTCTACAGTCAGACGTTGTTAAGGGAAAATGAAAACAAAACTCTTGTAAGATGGTACTGAAATAGGTTAGTAGGTTATTAAAAGTTATTTGAAGATGTACACTCAATTTAAAGAGGTGTTCAATTGCATATTAAAATGCTACGCTGTTGATCATTTAGTGTGGATGTCTTAAATTACTATTTTTTCACATTTTTTATTAGTACACATGTATAGTCCGTAATGTTGGTATTCCTTGTGGGGAGTTGGCACAGAATACATCTTCATTCATTCTCTCTCCCTCCCCGCGCCACTTTACAATAGGACAAAGAGGATTAACTTCCCAAATATTTGCCATAATAGCTCTATCTGTAGCTTTATATCCTTTTTAAGAATACTCTTCAAACGTACTCTAGTTACAACTTGTAAATGTTGTCCATTTTCCGATGAAACAACATTTAACCAGGCAAGGCCTGGAGGACTAGGTCATTTTCAGTGTCACTGAACTGTTATAATGGTTTTAGTGTACTAATGTAAGGGAAAAGTAAAAATTCTAGGGTGAAATTGCATTTTGCTTTAATATTCATGTTAGTTACTCATTTCATTCGGTATTCAAACAGTGATATGGTCTAGATTTAGGAAAAAAATCCTAGTGCATTTCAGACTCAAAAAAACGTAATATCAAAAGAGATGACACTAATACAAAATTGAAAGTGAAATCTGCCTTGCTTTCAACTTTATTTGATTATAGGTTGCAAATCACTGTATAATTTACTATTTAATATCTTTTTATGCATTTGCAGATACATTCATCCGAATGAAAATTTAGCTTGGATCATACAGGTTTGGTATTCTCTGTAGCCCAATACCACATCAATCAACAAGTCATGATTTAGCGAAAACGGTTTTACTTGTTTCTATTCGGACTTAAAATTCTCTTGAGCTTCATGTTTAGAATATCTTACTCCTTGAGATAGACTTTACTACAATCGGTAAGGATAATTTGACCAGGATTTAAGAAACAGTGCATGGAATATATAAAAATTAGATAATGGTTAAAAATTTTCTAACAGCCTCTACTTCTAGAAATAGAATTACACTTTAAAAACCTCAATAGAAAACGAAATCTCATCGTCCAAAGGTATATCAGTTGGATTACTACTATTAGAAACAAAAAGATTTCATAAAATGTCCAAAATAATAAATACATCCCTCTACTTACAATTAATTTTATGTTGAAATAGTAATATTTAAATCCTCATGCTTGGAAGAAGAAAGCCACTTTACATATATGACATATGAAAATCATTTAATAAATTTATTTACAGAATGGATTAATACCACCAAAAGTTAAGATGCAGTTGATTGAGTGAAAGCATCAATGAATATACAAAGATATTGTTCATTTAAGGAAAACTATCACTATATTAGAATAGTAAAATATCTGTCATAGTCTACATAATCAAATTTCATCAGGCAGGAATATTCAATATTAAAAAGTTGGACTTCTGTGTACTTTCATGAACTATAATCATATCACTGGTTCACACAGTTATGTAACTGCAAAATAAAACAAGAATACAACTACCCAAGACTGTTGTTTTTAAGTCAGGCTTTTATTGCTTGAGTAAGCAATAATTTATCAAGATATAAATCAGGGAGGGGAAAAAATCGATCTGTTGGGTTTTATTTCTAGTTAAGACAATTGAAAGTAAAATCTAGGCTATTCAATCTTTTTCTTCACATGATTCCCAATAAAACATAGTAATTATAAGGAGAATTTCATTCCTGTGACAGTGCAAGGACAAGTGTGAGAAGAGAGTTCCTAGCACCTTAATCTTAGGATACTCTTTCATGGTAGTCTGTGGGGAATGGAATGAAAAAGGAGTTGAAGAAAGCTGTATACCGGGAGCCCTGAGATACATTAGAATTTATTTAAAATAAATAGATTATGTTTGTCCATCCAGTACACAAGACATGTTTGTAAAATTCAACCTGATAATTTGTGAGAAAGCCAATTTTATAAAACAAATATAATTCATATACCATACAATTCTAAAATGTACAATTTAGGTGTCTTAGTATATTCTTAAGGCTATGCAACTGCTACTACTAATTCAGGAACATTTTTATCACTACAAAGAGAAAACCCATCCCCACTTTTTAGTCACTCCTATTTTCCCTGGTAGTTACAAATCTACTGTGCGTCTCCAGATTCTCCTATTCTTAACATTTCGTATAAGTCATAGCATATGGGGGCATATGTGCTGGCTACTTTCACTTACCATGATGTTTCCATTTTCATTCACTGGGCAGTACATATCAGTACTATATAGATGTATTTTTAATGGCCAAATAGCTTCCATTTCATTTATCCATTCATGAGTTGGTAGGTTTTTTCCCCTAGTTTTTGGCTCTTATGAATTAGAAAGAGATATTGAGAGAAAGTTTAATACTTTAAATGCAAAGAAATTTTAAAGATGCTAGTCTAGGCATTTCAGCAATATCTGATGATACAATCTCTTTCAATAAAATCATCTCAAAGGCAAATGGTAAATCACTGTGAACCTCAATATGTTTCAACTATATAAATATAAATATTGTTCACATTGAATTTTGAGTTTTTGATACTAACTTTAAAGATGATTTTAGATCTACAAAAAATTAAGAATAATACATAGTTACCATATGGCCTGCAATCAGTTCCTCCAGGTACTGGCATCTCACAGTGTGTGTGGGGTAAGGAAAGGGTGAACTCAGCAGGCCTGACTTACTTCAAACCAACATCCCACAGAAAGTCCTCTTTTTGTCCTCTTAACAGATAATCTTTGCAGCCTTGGAAAGTTTGGCCTGATAAGAATTTATCTGTAATTCTGAGTCCTTGACTGTGTGGATCCAGTATGACCAGATAAGTTTATCTTAATAATGTGTCTCTGAGTTACTCCACACTGAGGAGCCTGGAAGCTCATGCCTGAGTTCTCTTGGATCTCTCTCTGTGTAGCCTTTCCCTTTCTGATTTCGATCTGTATCATTTTGCTGTGACAAACCATAACTATAATAAAAACTATCCAGTTTATTAATGACATGGAATACAGAGCTATATAAAGAAGAGCATATCTGAGTACATTAAATGGCTAATTCAGGTGCAGACGTTACTATTTTATTAGAACACTTCTGAGTATGAAGCATGTTGCTTAGAATTTTATATAATTACCTCATTTGGTATTTGTAATATTTATATAATGTAGGCATTAAGTCTTCAATCTACCAAATAGGACATGAAGGCTCAGGTAAGATACTCAAGATGTCATAATTTATAAAGGGCAGAAGCAAAATTTAAAGGCAGGTAGAAAAAGTCTATAATTTAAAAATGACTTTTTGCACTGCTTTCTGATCTCTGCATCTAGCAATACTCAACCAAGTCACAGGTAAATAAAGAGCATTCCTAAGTGAAAAACAGAATTAAACTAGAACCGAGAGATTTTGATAATTACTATCAGCTGAATCAGGTTTCAGAGTAAGAACAGAAACACAGAGACTCATATTGGGAGGGAAACAGGAAGTAAAGCAGATTAAAGACAGCTGCAAAACTTTTGAGTCTTCTCAGTGCTGAGTGCGATTTATGCTCCTTCCCCAGACAGTGTGTGGGCTTTTGACTGCCGTTACCAAAGGAAAATAGCAGCAATGATGTACATTCCACTATGTGAGCAACAAGAAGTTTCCTATCGTTTGGGAATATTCTGTCTAGGAGCTGTGCTGTTGCTTTCATAAGCTCAACTATCTGCAGAAGTTCCTGTTAGACGGGGCATGGGAAGGTACACTGGTCAGCAGTCCTACATGAGTTCTGCCTTCCTGCCCAACCTGCAGAGGCAACAGACACATGAGGGAAGCCCTCCTGGCCCTGAATATGATTCCTGATCTCAATGTCTTGCAAGGTAGGAGAATCGCCAACCAAAATCTGACCAGAACCCAAGGTGCAAAATCACTAGAGAAAATGAAAATGATTGCTTTGAGGAGTTTAATTATTGAGGTACCTTGTAATAGATAACCAGGAAAAAGAGTCTCAGTGGAACTTACAGTGATATCACTTAATCTTAAGGTAGAAATCCAAAGAGAACAAATGACAGCAAACCAAGTGAGATCCTGAAATTCTAAAGAGTAAGGCATCATGCAAGTTCCAAATGTCCACAAAGGTAGCTACAGAGAAGAAGCAGGACTAGAAGAGAGCCTAAAGAACAACTGTTTCCATTGTCCTACCATCTCAGGCTGACTTTTAGGTAAACTAGAATACCCACAACATTGAGGTTTGTAGGTTTTACAGGAAAATGTCATCAACAATAGGTCAAGAAACACACTATAGATTTTGTTTGCAATTTCAGTGACTGATGCTTTTGCAGTGACTTATACTTTCCTTAGAAACCAAATGGCAGTTTTCTGTTGCTAGGTGAGCATTAGACCATGCTGAGTCAAAGCCAGCACTTGAAATGCCAAGAAAGTGTTGGGAGTTCACAGCTGTTGTGAATAGTGTAGCCAAATACTGGAGTGGAGGAATCTAGGCAACTGAGTGTTCAAGAATAGCAGAACCCAAGAGACACAGCTGGGGCAAATCACTCACAATTACACAAGTAAGGAACACAAGGCTAAATCAGAGGTCAAGAGAATCAGGTGCACATATGTAACAAGGGCAAAGGATCTAGAAGTAAGGGTAGTCATTTGCTGGCCTTTGTGTTAGCACGGAAGTCAGGTTTCTGGTATGAATTGAATTAGTAGCATGTTGTGTTCTGCTTATCCCTTTAAGACCTAATAGTTTTCACTAACTTCCACTGGGTCTTAAAGCAACTCTGCCTTTTTATGGCATGAAAATGAATTAGAGAACCTGGATTTCAATGTAAATTTAAATCTGAGTTCAAATCATGACCCTTCCATCTAAGCTAACAGGTCACTTTTTTATCTGCAAGATTACCCATATGACCATTGTAAAAGGTAAGTGAGGAAGTAAAATAGCATGTATCTTAGTCCAGATGCTCCAGATGCACCAAATATGATCAGTTACGTGGAATTTCTGAAGTTCACAGGAGTAGAGAGCTCTTCACTGAGAAAAAGGACAAGGTTTAGGGGTTACAACTCAAAGCAAGAGGAACTCTTAGGTAGGTATGTAGAAGAGCTGCAATGGTCAAAAGA